CCTTGTTTTCGTTGGAAAAGGCGTTAAAATTAACGCAGCTGTGTATGAAGAAGAAATATTGCGCAAAATCTTTATGCCATATGCCGAAACTGTGTTTGGTGATGAACCGTGGGTGTTTCAGCAAGATGGGGCACCGGCACATCGAGCAAACAAAGTGCAACAGTGGTTAAGAGAAAATGTGTCTGATTTTATTGATAAAGATGAGTGGCCGCCATCGTCTCCAGATCTAAATCCATTGGATTATTTTGTGTGGGGCTACATGCAATCGAAGCTAAATGATCTGAAAATTAGGAAAATCACAAAATTGGATGCATTCAAAAAGAAAATCGTCAAGATTTGGAACGATATTCCCATCGAAATGGTGCGCGCCGCGTGTAAATCGTTTTTACGACATTTGCGTTTGGTGGTCCGTGCAAATGGAGGAAGAATCAAAACCAAAACATGAATCTAAAATTTTGGACCCTATTCTAAATCTCAATAAAGTTTTTGTTCATTTTTAGTAAAAAACAATACGTATTAATTAATTAATTATATTTTAAGCATATATAAAAATATCAGTTCGACTGAGTGTAGGTTTCATCATTGAATAATGTATCATAACTGGTAAATTTGTGCGTATTGTCCATGAGATGAGGCCCAACTATAGTTTTGTTAGATATTATATGCTCAAAACTAATGAAAATTATGTTGATTATTTCTTTTTCAGACAGACGTATAAAAATAATAATAAAATGTTTCACGCATTTTTTATAGGTTCGTGTCATTTTGTACCTCGCTCCAAGTGAATCTGATTGTTGAGCACTAGTACTATTATCTGTAACTGATGGCCCAGGGCTAGATACGGATGCACTCTTCACATGTCCTTTTCCATTTCCTGCACCATTGCCTCTTGTTAACTCAGATACGGTTGATGCAAGACTACGACACGGAGAAAACAGACGAAAACACGACATTTCGCAATTTTCTTTAAACGCCAAGAGATTTTGATACTGATATTTACAGACTTATTCAATGGTTGGGATAGTGCACATATGTATACACACAGACAAATTCTAGTAATATTTAATGATTTTTTTGGCATACGTTGACGAATCAGAAAAATTGATAAAAGTAGTTCATTCATGCAATTTTTAGCATTATACATATATATTAATATTCTAAATTTAAGCTAAATCGGTAAGAACATTCGTGAGCTTTAAAAGGTGTATTTGTTTAAATAAATAAATAAATATAATATTCATTTTTATTGAAAATTTTTGTAGAGAGAAATAAATGTAATTTTTTGTCAATTACATAAATATATAATTTTGTCTCAAAAAATTAATTTTATCCATCACTTTTGAAATTATTCTCGATTCTTAGTTTTGCGTTAGAACGATTTACTTAAAAATCAATTGAATTTATATCACCTTTTGGTTTTTTTTTTGCAATAAAAATCATTATTTATTATAATGATTCCTTCTAGTTGGTAGAGCAAAAAGTGGTGTTTCTCAAGTGTTATGCTCAGAAACCTTTAACTATAGGTCATACTGTTCGAAATTTGTGATGACCTTGTATCGAATAACTTTGAAGATGAATGCTATCTTGCGCCCCTTCTCCAGCGTGATCATTCAAATCTGGATTTTTCCAAAAGATTCACTTTCACCTCATGATATCTGACTCTCGTATAAATGCAGTTTATTTTATAATATCATGTGAGATGAAGTGAGATGACATGAGCTGGAAGTGAATCTTGTGGAGCAGATGGATCCGAACTA